CAGATAGTAAATCATTTAATAAATGTCTGTTGAATCAAGGGAGAGGGAGCTGCCTCTAGGATGCCTTAATTCAGGGCTGCTTCACCTTGTATTAACCAACTGCTTTGAGTACCCACACTCTCCATGAGTTGAGTGAAAGGAGTGTCTCTGGACCAGGCTCTGCCCCTACCCCCCACCAACCACACCCCTAGCAGTGGGCATCTCTGTGGCTGCACTCTGGGGCCCTGTCATTTGTGGTCAGCTGTTGGAAGCTCTGACCCTAGGGGTTGAGTAGGGGGAAGGGACTGAATTATCATCTCCTCCCCTTTCCTTCCCCCTCCCCCCCCCACCCAGGGTGGGGCAGTGCCAGCCAGGACAACCTGGCCCTGGCCAGGGCCAAGACTGTGTTGAAACAAGAGGCTAATTACGTTGCTGAAACTGGCATCTAAAAATACAGCAACAGGGCCATGTGTATGCTGTGCACATGGAGGACAGAGACGGGGTAGCAGGGAGGGGGGAAACTGAGACTTAAGAAAGAGGGAAGCAGTGATTGAGATGGAAGGAAAAGACGGCCATAGGAAGCTGGCAGGAGATGTTAGGATGGCTGAGGGAAGGAGTGATGGAGAGATGGAGGAGAAGAGGAGCAACAGAACAGAGGAAGAGGCTGACGTGGGGAGGAAGGTAAGGTGGCCTTCCATGTCAGACGGGATAGATTGAAGATGAGGTGGGTGGGCAGGCTCAGGAAAGCGTTTGTGCTCTTGGGAGGGCTCAGATGGAGCCACTGGGATCCAGGCTGGGTCAAGGATGGCAATGGCAGAAGAAGGGGTGTAATGCAGAAGAGTGATTGGATGTGTTCCTGCTTGACCCCAGAGGGTGCAGTGTGGGGAAGTTTCAGAGAGGCAGATCTAGGCTTGCTCTAAGGAAAAACTTCCTAACAATTAAGAGCTCTCCAAGATCCGGAGGAATGTGCTGCCTTAGGAAGTAGAGGTTTCCCTTTTGCTGGGTGTTTTCAGTCAAAGGTGAGATGACCGCTTGTAGTGGATATAGCAGAGATATCCCTGTATGACTTGTACTAGATGGCCTCTGAGCTTTCTTCCAGCTCCAAAATGCTGTGATTCTGTGAGAGGGACTGAGTAGTCATTAGGGGGTGTGGGAGTGCAGTGTGGCTGCAGATAAGGCCCTGAGGTTGAGTTTCCCCTTGTGTACTTGTCAGCCCAGAAAATCCTGCATGACCCTCTTAATCCCATCCCAGAGGCCAGGCAGAATATGGCAAGGAGAGGGACGGAAAATCACCCAGAGACTGAATCTTAGGCTCTGAGATCTTTGAGGCACCAGGCAGTTATTTAATCCAAACGCCCACCCAGCCCAGAAATTCCTTCTAATACATTCCGGACAGGTGCCCAGTATCTACTTAAATACTTTAAGAAGTGACCAGAAACTTGTTATCTTAACATGGCAAGCCCATCCCATTGGGACCAAGCTGGAGAAAGTATCAGCTCTGGACAGAGGATTAAGGCTTAATGAATGGTCGGCCTAGACTATAAACACAGGGAGAAGCCCCCTATCCTAAGAGGAGCAGCTGGATTGGAGGAGCTGATGCTCCAGATCAGGTCCGATCTGACCCACAATCAAAAGGAAGTTCCAAGGCTTGGAAATTTTGTCTTCTCTTTTATTCTGGTTCCATAAGCA